AATATCCGCCGCGGCAAATATCGACGCGATAATAACTCACCGGGCGTTCGTGAATTACACGTTACACGCGGCCGTCCACTGGCCGAGCGCTGCCGCGCCGTCGCGAGCATTTTCATTTTAATAGAAATCGATCGGCCGCGAGAATAAGTAGGAAGTTGAGGAGATGAAGAAGAGGGAAGAAGGAGACAGAACGCGAATGGCGAGACCACTGTAGAGCCGGGCGGCGGCGGCGGCGGCGGCGGCTGTGTGACGGTCGGCGAGGAGGAGGAGAGGGGGCCGGGAGGGAGGCAGGCAAACGCGGCCATGTAATTAGAAATCACGGGGATTTACGGGGCATCGGGCAATAAATCCAAAAAGTAACGGCTAATGGCACGCGTATTGATGTATCCATCTGGCTATCGTTCATCTTTCTCACGAGTCTCACCGCGCGCGCTCGCGCGCGCGCGCGTACGCCCCGCGTATGCCGCGACGCGCGCCTCGCGGCTACTCGCGAGCGACTCGCGCGATCGCTCCGGCCAGGAAGACGAGACGAAAGGATCGACGCCTCCAGAATGAACTACGGGGCTTTCTTCTCGGGGGAGACGTCGCGCCGGCCATAAGCACGCTTGATTTACGTTAAAAGCCGCGCCGGACCCGGCGCGCGTTGAGTCTTCATCGGGTAGGAGTGAGGCGATGATGATGGACGATCGGCGATTTGTAGAGGCGATCATCGAGCCCGCGCAAGCTCGAGCCCGAGCGGTGGATCCGCCGATCCATCCATCGGCAGGCAATCCGCGGCCGATATCTCTCGAGTCTCTCTCGGCGCGCCGGTCGGCTCGCGCGAGAGAAGACGCGCTTTGTGCGCGCGCCGGGCAAAAATGGCGAGTCTCGCAATCGCGTCTTTCAGCGCCTCGTTACGGGGATATTATCCGCCGGAAAGAGAGCGTATTGTCTCGCGCACGGTCGCCGCGTCCGATATATCCCATGTATATATTACAGATTCAGCGTCCGCCGTCGTCTCCGACTGTCGCTTCAAAAGCCGCGGTAGGTTTCTACGATGGAGGAGCCATTATTCGCGCCCCGCGACTTTCTAATTCGCGACATTCATCACACTGGAAATTATCATCCCGAATTCAATCTCCGTGGAGGCGATCTTCGATCGCACGACAGAGACACCCTCTCCCTCGTGCGCCCGCGGCTCGGACTCTTGATCCGTCACGGCTTTTAATTCGCCGCGCGAGGCGGCTTTCCGTATCTCGCTCTTGGACGAGTGCAATTAGCGGGATGTTGAAAATGTATCCGAGACGCGCGGACGAGGCGTATCGCGATATTTTCGAGTGCAATTCGTCGCTGCATTTGTCGCAACGAGTCAGAGAGCGCGCGCGGCGGCAGCAGGCGAGACGCCAGGTTTCTCGCTCGAGCTGTGCGAGCGAGCGAGCGAGCAGGTGCGAATGAACGTCTTCATTCCCGGAGAAACTCCTCTCGCTCTCTCTCTCTCTCTCTCTCTCACGCGCGGTGCCTCGCGGTGCCGAGCGGTAATCGATCGGTTATGGTAATCCGAGCGCGAGCGCGCGATCGTTAAAAAAGCTGCGAGCGCGCGCGCGCGCGACGATAAGCGAACGCAGTTCGATTAACGCAACAACGTGGTGCGTGAGCGATCATCCGTCGTGCGTGGAAAGAGAGAAACCCCACGCGAGGAACGCCCACGCGATCTACCTGCGATCGCCTCCGCGATCGGCCGATTCCTCAACGTCTCTTTCTCTCCTCCCGACGCGGTGCGTTCGTGGGACGACGTCGAACGCGCTTTGTTCGTCGGCGCTCTAAGCCAGACGTGCTGACGACGAGAGGCTCCGTCTCGTGGCGTTTGGGTAATTAGAAAGTCGACGACGAATCTATTAGCGCGTGCACGCACGCACGCGCAAGCGCGAGGCGCGCACGGTCTCTCTCTCTCTCTCTCTCTCTCGTTTACGGGATTATCGTAATGATCGGCTTCGATCATTCACGACTTGTTTCTCCCCCCCCCCTCCCCCCATCAATTCGCTTCTTCAAGATTTACGAGTGGATAAATAAACGCGGAATATCGGAAATATGATTATTACGCAGCAATCGGTTAGAAATCGAGCTTTCAAGCGCGCGGCGAATCGAGTCGTTACTCGGTCGATTTATCACGATCCCCGGGATTAAACGTACCGCGGATCGGGATGATTAAGCGATAAATAATGACGATCATAGTGAAACTCGCCGGTAGGAAAAAAAAATAGGGCGCACTCTCGGCAATTGTATCGCCGTCGCTCACATCGCCGAGCGATCATCGAGCGAAGTTAATTGCTACTCCCCCGCGCCTTTCGCGCGCGGTATCCTCGAAAATTCGCGACGGCGCTCGCGGAGGAAAGAATAACGACCACGCCCGTCGGCGTCGGACGCGTTATTATCGCGTTAGCGCGCAATCGGCCGCGCAGATAACGCCGCGATGAGTTATCATTCGCGCCTCGAGCGAGCGCCTTCGGAGGAGCTCCGAGGTATTACGCGTGTATTTATGAACTGGCAACTGGCGATGCGTTCGTCGTGTAATCGCACGTCTCGTAAAACTCTATACGCCTCTATCCGGTAGGAGACTGACGCGTATAGCCGTGTATTAAGCTCTCTTGACTTCCACACAATCTCCACACATCTCACAATGCCGCTGTATATCAAGCGGCTATAAATAGCCGATATAAGGAGGTAATGAAGACTCGTAGTTTGGCCGAATGGACTTTGGCATCGTTCGCGAGGTTCATAGGTGTTCGCGCGTGTACAAAACGGAAGCTTTCCTGTCAGGATCAGCGATCCTGTCGACGAATTGGATGAAATTACATCAACGATGGAAAAGGTACACATCCGAGAGACTCCCGCAGGTGCGCTGTTCGGTTGTTATTAGGTGTACAACTTCATTCTCGGCCCGAAAATTCAATGAATGACAGCTTCTATTCAAATTGAAATTTATCCCCGTCCTATGGTGGTCTGAAAGTGCCTCTAAGCCTCAGCTTTAGAACGCAGTATAAATCAGATGGCGCCAGCCCTGCTGATGTAACTTCAAGAAACAGCAGTGAATGCAATGTCGTTCGAAAAGCAGCATTTCAGGCACTGCCTCCTTTTCGCTTTCCAACTTAAAAAATGCAGCTGAAGCGCAGGAAATGGTTCCGCTCGGCTTTGGGCGAAAATGCTGTTTCCTACAGCACTTGCAAGAAGTGGTTTCAGAGGTTTCGAGACCCCGAACCCCCAAACATTCATGCGAAAAAAGTGTTATTGTGCATTTGGTGGGACTGGAAGACTGATAGAAAAATATAGTTGAATTAACTATAATCCCACTATATTTTATGGTTCATTTTGGCGTCAACCATAGTTTTATAGTTGGTGGAACCTGCATGATATAGTGGAATAAACACAAATATATTTAGTTTAGTTACTTTTACCACATATATGGTAATTTCTCATTCACAAATATAGGGAGATTTAATATTCATATAGTTACATCTGTCATCATTTAGCAAATATTCTGGTAATATTGACTTGATATAAAAGAGTTACTTTTACCTACCATTTTATATTTGTATCCGTACAATAATTTCAGTTTAACTTACTATAATTCTTGGTAAAAATATTACACGATTGGTTGGTTATACTACGCCTATATCGTAATTATTACCGATAGTATGGTAACACTTACTATAAATATGATATTTCGGACTATAATTTAGTTACTGTATCATTACAGTTCCAAATGTCATATACTTTTCTCTCAGTGTGGGAAATCCTTCCTCACGCGGCGTATTCTCCAGACCTCGTCCCATCAGATTATCACCGGTTCCGATCGCTGCAGCATCATCGCCTAGCTGATTCGCACTTCCGAGCTTCTGAAGAAGTCAGAAAAAGCATCGATGACTTCATCGAGTCCAAACCACCGTCGTTTTTCCGAAGCGGAATTCGAAAGTTGCCTGAAAGATGGCAGAAATGTGTAGAAAGTGAGGGTAGATTACTTTCGGGATTAGGGTAAATATCTTTTTTTTTTTTCGCAACTGAGCATTGAAGTTGAGCAAAAAGGGCCGAGAATTAAGTTGTACACTTTAATATATTTCGCGGGCAACCGAGCGCGCGGGGTCAATTCGTAATTGACTTCCGCGGAGCTTCGCCGCGGAATCCTGCGAATCCCATTACGTTCTCGAGCATAGATCAGCTCGGGGAGCGAACGCTAAAAGGCGTCGGTTGTATTTAACGACTCCAAGTACGTAGTTGGGTTGCGACCCCGGCGTCGTGAGCGCGCGGTAACGCGGAGGAAAATGAACTCTGTTACTCGGCATTATCTATCACTTATCGGGGAATTGTTTATAATGTCACTGTGCGCGGTACGATCCAACCCGTAGCTAAGGGACCTTATTCAGCGAGATGACCTACTCTCTCGGTCGGATAGATGCGACTGAGAGGACGTCGTTTGATGATTTACACCGGCTGAGAGATTGCGATCGGCGATCGCTCATCGTGAATCGAATCATGCTCTGTAATCAAGCGATGCCTGCCAACGTTCGCCGCGACGTTGAAATCATTCATGTTGCGCCATCGCGCGCGCGCGCGCGCGCGCGCATCCTCGCTCGCGACACGCGCGCGGACGAGTAATTTCTTCTCTCGAGCCGTCTTGCAGTCTCTTCACGTTTCCCTTCAGCTACGTATTTCACAAGCACCACGATGCGCAACGATGATGAAAAATTGACCAACGAATTGTACGAACAGATACGTAAATTTGCGACGTGTTACCACAGTTCGAAGGGTTGCCACGAGTAAAGGCAGGTCGTCGAGATCCAGCCTGCCGGCTGGTTGAGTTGCCAACGCGATAAAGAGGAAAAGGTAGAGAAGGACTCGCTGGAAAGCATCCCGAGATATTCGATCGAAACGAGATTCGAATCGGCCGGCGAATTTCGCTCGCGCACCTCGGCCTTATCAATGGCGCTAAATCTCACTGAAGGATATATCCCGATTGTCTGTTGCAGGATACACGGACGTGGCCGGGAGGCCGGTAATCGTGTTCGAGGACCACGCGTCCGCGAGGGAAACCCTGTCCGTACGAGAGACTTCGTCTTTCCTGCTCTACCTCGCTCGTCTACCCAGGTACGTTTCCCGTTTCACCTCTGGCGAACGTCCGTTCGCACAATACATCAACGTTCGGCGACGCGAGAACGTCTCGAGATCACCGTGCGATCGCGCCAAGTCGTACGCGCATGCGTCCGCCGCGCGATGCCGATAAATCAGCGGGATTATCGCGCGAGATCGGTCGCTCGCGCGCCCATCGGGGTGCGACGCTCGTAATTTATGAATTCGATTAGCGCGGGCGACTCGCGCGGCCGCGATAATTTTTGTCTTTCCTTCCTTCTTTTTTTCTTCCTCGCGCGCGCGCGCGGGCGGGCCGCTCTTTTCCTCCTCGTCCTTCTGCCTCTTCCTCCTCGCATCGCGCTTCCTTCTCTTCCTTTTGCTCGTAGAGAATTCACACTTTACGCCGCGGCGCGCTGGCGCGAGACACCCATTTATTACGCCGGCATCTGCACTCCTCAACGAGGCTGTGTTGTAGCCGATAATAACTGAAATCAACCGAGTCCGAATTGGCAATTTATTAATCCCGCTCCGGCGGAGGAAGGAGCGCGCGCGAGCTTTCCGCTAAATAAACGTGATCGACGCCGGTGTCGGTAATAATTATAATTTCCCGCCGTCATGAAGTCGCGGTCACGCCCACCGTAATCGGCCCGATGGGGAGCAAAATCGCGGCTTACCGTTTTCTCCTGCCCGCCACTCTGCCTCTCGCATCTCCGCCTACAAGCTCTCTAACGAAGCTTCCTCTCGTTTCCTAAGCTATTCAATTAACGCGCTTACGATTGCAACGAACGCGCCTTCCTTCCACATCCCGTCGTCGGCGACTCAACGTCCGTGAGAAAACCGTATCGCGGCTCAAATCGGGGCACGCGCGCGCGATTGTGCCGCGGAAAACGCGAGAGTCTCGGCAACGAGTCGACGAGAGTCGATGAAAATTTAAGCGGAAATATTCACGCGTCGGAGAAGACGCGTAGCTCCAAAACACGCGTCGACTCGTCCCCCGTCGACTTTTACTCGCGCTGAGAATGCCAAAGGACGTACGAATCGCGGAAAGTCCCAAGTGCGATGCCGAGAGAGGGAGAGGGAGAGAGAGAGAGAGAGAGAGAGAGAGAGAGAGAGAGAGTGAGAGTGTTGACGGTCATTGAAATCGCTCGGCACGTCGCTCGGACGTTTACACGCTTTTCCCGAAGGAATGGGCTACCCGGCGCGCGGAAACGCGCGCATTCTATCGACTCGAGCGGCGCAGGTATTCGTCGTCGCGGCTCGCGGCCGTCTTCTCATACGACTACGAAGAGTCGTCAAACACGGTGATCGCGCGATGTCATCGTGGCGCAGCGCGGCGCTGTCGAGCGCGTTCGCATGCTTGCCAGCTCATAAAACACGTGACGCGCGCGATAGCCGCGGCGGTATCGGTCATCAGGCGCGGCTTTATGCTTTCCCGTGCAACCGGGAAGCACCGGATCCCATGGCATCGGCTCCGTGTGTCCGGGCAAATGAGCGGCCGAACAGTCGATCGATGGAGAGGGTCCACGTGAGGGACGGAGACAGCGCGAGGAGGAGAGAGCGAGAAAATCTCGCGCTATTACGCTCGGGGCGTCTCTCGGCCGGCGAGATCTATCTTTCGGCATCTCTTTCTCTCTCTCTCTCTCTCTCTCTCTCTCTTCGTCTCCGTCGGAGTCGTTTCCGCGTCTCGGCGACTCTTCTCCGCCGATAGCGGCCGGCCTGGGAAAAAGTCCAGCGGAAAATTCGCGCGATTCTATCGACGCCGTCGTCGACACGCACGGACACACGCGCCGCCTTTTATCGGGGTATCCCCGCGCGCAAATTCGCACGCACACAGAAGACCGTCTCGTGGCTCGCCGTGGGATCGCGATATCGCGACGTATCTCCGCGGCTGGATAATTGAAGGCGTCGCCGGCAGGAAGGAATAAAGGAGGGAAACGAAAACGAGGAACGAGGGGGAATAGAGAGGGAGGGAGAGAGAGAGAGAGAGAGAGAAGAAAGGAACGCGTCGTGGGGGTCGGCGTGCGAATTTTTCGCCGCGAGAGCAGCGCAAAGTCGAGCTGTCCGCGCGCAGGTCGGCTCCGCTCCGGCCGGCCGGCCGCGCGCGATCTTTCCGTGTCGATACCGCGAGCGAGCGAGAAACGCGGTCGCGCGATACCGAAAACTCGCGGGCGGGCGATTTATCGCGCGCGTTCCCAGGATCGCGCGCGCGCGCGCGCGCGGTGGCCGCGAAAGAGCAGCGCCGGCGATACCTTTAATTTATCGCGGCCGAGTTATCATTCCGCGCGGCCACAATACGCATTGTTACGTGTCGATATCTTTCGTTGCCGGAAGAAAGGCGGGCAAGGCTTCGGCTGCTCGCTCGCTCGCTCGCTCGCTCGCTCGCTCGTGATTCACGCATGCGCCGAGCGTTCTCCGGCTCCGCCGGGTGGAATCCGCGCGCGGTCCGACGAAAGCCGACGGTGTCATAATGATCCTCTGAGCGGAACACGATCGCCATAAATCTGCATGCGCGCGGCGGCAACGCCGTCGTCGCCGTCGCCGTCGCCGTCGCCGTCGCCGTCGCCGTCGCGCGGGCTTCATTAGCATTTTTCCGCGCGGGTCCCGCAGTGGGAAAGCGCGCGGAGCGACGTTGACGTAGCGCTTAAGCCGGGCTATCGGTGGCAGATTACTCGCGGATAAGACCGGCGATGCAGATTTATACTCGCCCGTATGCGGCCGCGAACGAAACGACCGACTGACGCGCGACGTCTGGGAACTGCACGCGCGAAACTGACCCCGGAATTTCCACATATGCGCGAACGTACACGCATACACACACACACACACATGCGTGCACAGAGGCGTATGTCTCGCCCCGTCCTCTTCTCCCCCCCCTCCCCCACCCGTACTCCTCGCGGCGTTATCGCGCGGTGCAATATCTTGACGAGGCATAAACGGGCGGCACTCTTTCATCCCGTCACGTAATCGCGGCCGGGGATCGTTTAATCGATGGACAAATCGCGCGTGATAAATGCGCGGATGGACGTTTATTACGAATCTACGGGACGAGGGCCGAGGGACCGCGCCGCCGCCGAGATTTTGCGCGATTCGTCATCGTCGGGTCCGGCCAAGTCCGTCGCGGGGTCGTTTACGGAAGATGCTACTCGTCGAGGCGTCGCGTTGCCGCGAGAAAGTTTGCGCGATTCGATCGTAGAGGAGGATTCGATGCCAGCTGATCGATCGATCGCATAACCGCGCTACGCCGCGACCTCGGCAGCTGTCTGCTCGACGGAGGGGGCGGGTGAGGACGGTAAGTGGAATTCTGGCTGGAATTTCCACGCGGACGACGTGGAAAATGGCGATGTGTTATTGGGTCACAGCCGCGGGCGCGCGAGTCCGCGAATTCACTTTGACACGTGACTACTTCTCCACTAGCGGCTAATTAGCGATTGTCGTCGCTGCGCCAAGCTCGACGAATTTCACCCGCTTCCTAGATCCGGCGAAACCTGCCTCCCGCGAGCGGGACAGCTGAAGAATCGGCCGCGCTTCGATCACGCCTCGGTTTCGCGCGCGGGATTGAAGGTGAAATGGCGAAAGCGCGCGCGCGCGCGCTGTGTACACCGTTATCGCGCATTAAGTGCGCTCATCGCGCGCATGTCCGCCTGGCTACATATCGGCGATCGATCGATGTTTATTGCCCGATTGAAATTCACCGACGGAAATATGGTGGGCGGCCTGCCGTCCGGCTAATCGACCGCGCGCGTTTCCGTTTTGATTAAACTCGCCGGCTTCTCCTTCGTATTTGCATAGCCGTGATCGCTGTTGCGAGCGAGAGAGAGAGAGAGAGAGAGAAAGAGAGAGAGAGAGAGACGGGGCTCGGCTGGCGGTCCTTTTCACACAGCGCGCGCGCGTGTTTCTTCGCGAGCCTCGAGCAGCAGTTGGTCTTGACCAAGAAAGCTTATGTGGATGTACAATCTCGTTTCGATATCCGATCGGACGGCGGTCCGATCGAAAAATGTCCTCTGGCGGTCCTCTAGATCTCAAACGTTTACGTTAAAAATATTTTACAAGGTAAACTAAAATTTCTCTCGCGAGATCATCGCGAGAATATTTCCTCCTCGCACGGTAAACGGATTCTGTCCAGTTGTGTCGGATAATAGCGTCAAAACATGATGACAGTCGTGCTTAATAATCGTGCGTAAAGAGGACTGGCTGGAAATGCGCGAGTAACAGGCGCGTACAACTTTCTTAATTCAAGATTGTCATAGCGTGAAGTAACAAGTCACGTTTCACCGCGCGCGCTGCGCTGGCTTTTGCAGTGGCCGCCTTGAAAGCTTGTATCTCATACGGGAGAAATATATTAAGCGTCAGGAGCCCGGGACTCCCGCGGTTTGCGTTACGCGTAATAACTTGATTGGTCGCGGTGAAAGGTCGAATCACCAAAAGTAATTCGCGAATGCATCGCCCGGCGAAATTCACCTCGAGTCGTCTTTCACCGTTAACTCCGCACCACACCGGTTTGTCCGCCGATGAATCGGACCTCCTGATCGTTATATCAAGGCGGGAAGGCGAGAAATTCGCCGGCCGGCGGCACGCTCGCCTCGTGCCGAAAAGAAACAAAGATTGCCGAAATTTTATTCACGCTACGCGCTTACGAGCGAGAAAACGCTATTAACGCCCGGACGATTGATAATAATCGAGCGCACGTGCGCGAGCGACGAGAGAGAGAGAGAGAGAGAGAGAGAGAGAGAGAGAGAGAGAGAGAGAGAGAGAGAGACGGCGGGAGCTTTCCATTCGAATAAATTAGATTGACGATGGCGGTCGATGTGAAAATCAGGGCAACGCGGAGGAAAGGAACATCTGAGCGCGTCGAGCATCGCCGTCGTATCAGATGCTATCGCTATCGAATACCCCGCGAGCTGCTGATTGATCGCTTCATCTTATAATAAAACCCCCGCTGCGAATAGAGCTTGCCAAAGCTCCGGGACCTCTTGCTCAGCTCTCTCTCTCTCTCTCTCTCTCTCTCTCTCTCTCTCTCT